TATAATCGTTTTGTCAATGTAGTAATCATTGAAGGAACTTGTTTCTTTTTATCATATTTTTTCTGTTTGTTACTGGTCTCGTACAGTGAAGCTACACGGTTGGTCACAATGGTCAGCATATCTTGCATGGACCTAGTTTGACTGTACTTCTGTAACACGTGACTTAGGGACTGAATGAACCACGAACCGTGTACTGGGTCTCTCCATGAGTAGTAGCCTAGGAATAAAAAGAATGTGACGTAATGGTGTATTTAATATTAAATGTGACTTCTTATGTAGATCACGAGTTAAAATTGTCTAGATATTGCATATAATGCATAAACGTAAACCCCATTGTCAAAAACAAATAACACAAAAACAATTCCAAAACAAAGTCAAAAAACAATTGATATGTTTTTTATTGTTCTTCTTTTTTTAATATTTGACAATATTACCAACTCTTATATGATATGAACTGTTCGGTTTGTACAAAAAAGTACATATGATTTTGGTTTTGTGGGGAAATAACAACTGAATGGTGATTAATAGATGCGTTAGAGTATTTGAGCGAGGAAGCACATTACATGGTATGTGTCATTTAAGTAAATCTTTGATTTCGACCTTTACACTATTGGTGTAGTGTAAAGGAGACTTTAGTGCATATCAGAGGGTCGATCTTGATGATTAGATCCGCCTGAACAAAAAGTAAATTGGAAAACATCACAGTTTGAACTCTCAATTGACCTCAAACAATTTAGATCAATCAGGCTGTATGAAGTTAGTTGTTTTGGGGTCTGTTTACGATTGTTTTACCTTGCACGGTACTGTAGAATACCAGTATATCGGCTGTTCGTGGGATACGTTGTTGGTGCTTAGTACACGAGTCTGGTACCTCTGATCCGTCTGACTCGAAAGGCACCCCATCGTCACTCTTGTGACCTCGACATGACTACAATTAACAAAACAACTTCCTTATTTCCCATGAAAATTTCCATAAACGTATTGTACTTCTAGGCAATATAACTAAATAAGTTTTAATTAATAGTTAAATAAGTTAAATAAATTATGTTACCTGGATAAAGAACAGTTTGGGCTTCCCAACAAGACTTGGACATCTGTCTCCATGGAAATATTCTGTTAAGCTTTCAATAGCCACACTCTCTCCATCTGTACCATGAACTATTCCATCATCACCGTGGCTTAAAATAGCGATCACTAAACAATCGCAATCCCTGTGATCAGTCTGTGATACTAAATTAATCGAACATAAATTGTAATGGAATAAATCACAATATTGAACAATAATCCGTATTAATGAGTTATTTTAATATATTTAAATCCAAATTTATAATATAAAAACACAATTTACTTGTCTTAATAATGTCCACCATGTCATCTTTACTCAAGTCGGTGTGTTCATCCACGTCAAATGCCAGCTTGTCTAATGTTGTTTTCAGACTGTGTGCATCCACTTCCGTTCCGTTACGCTGTTCCATATTTTCGAAATTTTTGTTATTGATGATTATTGCGCATCCCCTCCGTGGATGTTCCATGTTGTAATTACATATGGTATCCACTTCATCGCTACAAGCACTGTTATTGAAACGTAA